GAAACTGACCAAACAACGTCTGATTCTTAAAAGCAAGTCAAAGATTTTCAAAATAATGAATTGCCCACACTACAAGACAGGCTAAATCTGAAAAAAATCGAAGAGCAATATCAGTCTGTCGGGACAATAATGATCGCAGTGCCGCTGCGCCAATAGAGTCTGTGAAATGAAAAGCAATTTGATTTTGTCGCAACACAATTCATTTCCTCGGCAGCGATGCGATTTTAGATACGACAGAGTGCTCATTATTTTTCCGACAGCCTTATAGAGCGACAGCAAAATCGCAGGAGTGGTCTTAACGACAAGCACTGGGGAAAAACTTCAGGGCCCAAATTGTAGCCTATTGCTCCGAAGTGGTCATTATTTTCCCGACAGACTGCTAGTGTTTTCATGAAGTGCATGGAATTTTTTTAGCTTTTGCACAGTGCATTTTGAACCTTTTCCCACACTTGTCGCAAACGCACAGTGCACGTTTCTTTTCGCACAGTGCAAACCGCAAAAAAAGCCGTTTGCACTGTGCAAATTTCGGGCGCCGCCGCAGCGGCGAATTTCAAACTTGCTTTTGTCGCAGCGATATTTGAAATGCACAGTGCAAAAACAAAGCAAAGTGAAGTGCACGGTGCAAGAAATCGGTGTTTTTTCAGCAGTTCTTCACTTTCGCACAGTGCATTTTGAACCTTTTCCCACACTTGTCGCAAACGCAAAGTGCGCGTTTCTTTTTGCACAGTGCAAACCCCAAAAAAACCGTTTGCACTGTGCAAATTTTGGACGAACTTGTGTCTGCCGCAGCGATATTTTAAATGCACATTGCGACCCCAAAACAAAGTGAAGTGCACGGTGCAAATGCACATTCTTTTGGGGTGTTTTTTCCGCGATGCGGGCCGCGAAAAATGCCCATGCACTTTTTGAAAATACGAATACAAAACCCGCCGTATAAATATGTAAAGTCGAACTAAAAAACCCCCAAATTTGAGTTTTTCCCCCAATTTTTCCCCTACAATCGTACAGCCTGTAATTCCAGGCCATAAACTGCTATAAAATGCACTCGTGTCGCACATTTTCCGGCCCGGAAGAGCGGAGTGTGTTTCCGAACATGACAATTGACAGCCCTCAAAAGTGACACCTTTTCAAAAAGAGAATTTGGAAAGACAAAAACCACTAACTAATTATTGATTCCGCGTTCAAAACCCGCTCCTTTTTTCGAAGCTTCTTGAACGAAACTGTCTTTTCCTTGGGGACGCCTAAAGTAAATGTGCACTTAGTCAAAGGAAAATATTTGGCCAATTTTGGCCGAGGAAATTCCGAATATATTTTTTACCTTATCAGGAAAGGTCGGCATTCAATTTCTGAAAGTTTTAGCAACAATAGATGCAGCCAAGACATTGAACGTTCTTTGTCGCAGAGGGAGCACGCGAAACGCGGAGAGCGGTGAGAGAGGAAAACACTTTTTGGCCATACTTTTGCCAATTAGGTGCGGACAATTTTTTTGTGGAAATATTTGTTCCCTCTACTGTAAAAATGTGTATGAAACTTTTCATACCGAAATTCAGCAAAAATTGTTAAATTTTCGCCGGCTTTCGATCTAAAAATCTCAGTTGTTTCAGCAAGGAGCGAGCTAGGATTATCGCATATTTTTTGGAATACGCTTGATACAAGTTTTTTGCTTGACCATTGTAGGCGCGGCTGAAAAAAACAGCCAACAAAATGTATAGCAAATTTTAAAAAAAATGAATAAAATTCTTCCCCATAAATGAAAGCGTAACACATTCTCTTCAACGAATTGAAAACTTCAACAAAAACACAAAATAATTCCACTCTTCAAACCGCAATATAACGCCGATCCCATAAAATCCGCACGCTCAAATTGGCAAAAGCAAAAGTTCAAGAGTTGGCAACCATTTTACGACCTGTTCCTTGGCCCCGAATGCCCAATAAAACTTGTCCGCCGCACAGAAGCGCTATATAATTAAGGGGTTGTAATCCGCCTTTGAACCCGTCCCTTCGTATACGCCCATCTTTTTCCTTTTTACCGCAAAATATATAGACATATGGCATGTCAAGAAAGGGGAAAATGAAAAGAAAATATTCGTAATTAGGACTTGTATATTATATTAGTATATTATACATGACGAGTTTGTAAAATTAATGGGAAATATTTACATGGATATGTTGGAGGCTCTGTATAATGAACAATTTGACCAGCCGCAGGAGTTTTCTTTCTTGGAACGAAACAAACCTGTGTAGAACAAAAACTTTCTATAAGGGCTACATCTTTTTTATCGGGTAAGTGCTACAAGTCGAACTGATATATGGCCAATCTCTGACATAATTGTAGAATTTGGAAAAACCAGGTCGTTGTACATAACTCTGTCATCATTTTTGATTTCAAAGCTATGAAAACTGTATAACAAACTCCCGTACAGTAAAAACTGGCTACAACAAAGTACAATGCGATCTGCCAAGCCGAGGATTTGGCAGTAAAAATAGAGGTACAACAGGGTTAAAAATTGATTTTTCATCCAGAAAAATTTCGGGCTGCGCGAGCGGAGGGAACTAAGCGAAGAATAAAAAAGAACTGTCGGCTGTCAATCAGTCTTCAGCCACCAGACACCGGCCAAATGAAAAGGCCAAGGAAATGAATGAGGGGCGAATAAATATCTCCGGATCGGTGGTCATTTTATTGGAAAAGGCGGATTTATTTGATTGGCCAATAAAATCAATGATTACGCAAGTGCGGTAAGGGGAAAAGCAGGTGTCGGCGCAAGGGTCAAGTCGAGGGGAGCGGGAAGTGCGGGAATTGGAATGCGATATGCTCAGAAATCTACCGGTAAATTTACTTAAAAATTTAATCACGTGCCATTCTAAATCCATATAAAAATTACTGAAAATCTTAGCTTGCGCTTCCCAAGCGCCGCCGATACGTTCAACGATCTTTGCTGCCGAGCAAAGATCGCGAGATGGGAGCGGTCAGAGAGAAAACGGCTTTCTTGACGTATTTTTTCCAACTTCGTAAGAAAAAGTTTAAAAAACGTTTTTTTTTTAAATACAGTATGGGACCTGATCTAGTGGCAAAAGGTACCATTTTGCATCCGTGAAGTATCAAAAACGTGGCAAAATGATTCCCTGCCCAGGTGAAAAAGCTCGAATTTCAAAAGCGCGCCAACTCTTTCTGTGAGGGAAAAGGCACGCCCTTCAAAACGAAGTTTTTCACTTGGAGAGGAAACCATTTTGCCATATTTTTAATGCTTCCCGGAAGCAAAATGGTACGTTTTTTGCCACTGGATCAGGCCCGTCACTGTACTACAGAATCGTGCCGCGGCACGATTCACTTCCGCGAAAATTTTCGATGCAACAGAATTCTCATTATTTTTCAGACAAACTGAAAACTGCTAGATATTCTCGAGATTTTATGCGCTTTAATCCGAGACGAATGTAATCCCCCATACCTTTGCTAAAGGCATTACAATATGATACCTCTTTCCTGAATCACTCAATCCAAACAAATATGTATTTCCGAGCCTTCACATAAAACCAGAAGCGATCGACGCCATTTCGAATGAGTCAATCGGTTGGAATGGCCATAAAAAAACAAATGATGGCAAATCAAAGTAAACTCCTTCGAACTCGATGTTCGAGGAAGCAGACGCGCGGATGAGTCAATTAAAATTGATGGGGAGAAAGTTTGTTTTGGTTGATGGAAGAAAATGACTTCAGATGCAGGCTTGATGTCTATGTCAGTGGTCTATTTCGGCTGCAAAATTCAAGGAGGTTGTAGCGACACAAATGATACTGATATATAGCTTCTTTTCTTCCCTCCAAAAGGGCCGTCTACTCAAAGAAACAGCTCTCTTCGACCAGAGAAGGGATGCAACCAATTGCCTGCAGGATGCAATTTGATGCGTTCTTTGAATCTCGGGAAAATGTTGAGCATTTTGACGCATCGAAAGTCGCATCGCCGTCGAGGAAATGAATTGTGCCGCTGCAAAATAAAGTTGCTTTTCACTTCAGCGACACGACCAGCGCAGCGGCAATGCGCTCATTATTTTTCCGACAGACTGATATTACAGTGGAGCCCCTGTAAGATGATCTCCAAAAAGTTAAAACCCGTAAATAAACCTCCGCACAACGAAATCCTTCTATAACGAAGCTGTTCTTGGTCTTTGAAATTATTTGTGCGGAAATGTCAATGCGTCTTGACCAAGTCTTTTCAAAGTCGATTCCGAACACCGAAAACCCCACCTCGAAACTGTAAACGAACCCAACGTAGTCAACCATGATGTGTACAAGGCAAAACACGCGGCGAGTTTGGGCAAGAAAACATAATTTCTCGGGTTTCCGCTCGACTTTTTCCCCTCCAAAAAACGTCCAATGAATAAAATAACATTCGACGGGACTTCCGGTAAGATTATTCTTGTGTTTTGCCGGAGGGCTGGAACGGTCTTGGAATGTAAAAATTAATCAAAGACCTGAGGTTGTCTGGGAAAATAAGTGTAGGAAGGAAGTGGTGGCTAAAAATAGGCGCTTTTTATCAGTGTGTCGGGAAAATAATGAGCACAATGTCGCGGCGCCAATCGTGTCGCTAAAGTGAAAAGAACTTTTACTTTTCCGCTACGCAATTCATTTTCTCGGCGGCAATGCGATCTTCAATGCGAAAGAGTGCTCATTATTTTCCCGACAAGCTGACAGCCCGTTTGCATAATTGCTGAAGTGATTTCGGACTAAACTTGGCGGCATGCACAGTGCAAAAGAAGTGCACTTTACACTGTGCAATTTGTCGCTTTTTGCACCGTGAAAAGCTTTATTTCGGCTGTCGCTTGCTCCTTAGGCTGTCCGTCGAGAAAAAAATTAGCAAAATGTCGATCGCGTCGCTGAATTAAAAAGCAATTTGATTTTGTAGCGAGACAGTTCATTTTCTCGGCGGCGATGCGATTTTCGATAGTGCTCATTATTTTCCCGACGGACTGAATATACAAATTGACTTTAATTTGTGCCAAGTTTTATCAAAATCTGAGCGTCGCACTTTTCCTTTGTAAAATAACCGTCGCTAAATCATCCCAAAATGTCCGCTTCCCCATCTGACCCACATCCTGAAGACGAGGGGGGTTCACCTTTCCCTTTCCCGATTCCTCAATCACCTCTTTCTCGAATTTGATTTCCCTCCCATTCTTCGCCAATCCAAACAAAACACCAGATGTGTCCATCCTTAAAATTGGTATCCTCTCTCGTCTCGAAGCACCTTTTTGTTACGCAAGTTGGAGTCAAGGGGGAGGGAAAGGTAATGAGAGATGCGATCCAACATGCCCGGCCAATACAAGGTGATTTGCAGGGAGTATAAAGTAGAGGATAAAATGAGGAGGAGGGATGTAAAAGTTGGTACAAAGTTGATCAAAGACACGTGAGATAAAACTTGCCTCCCTGGAAATTTTCGGATTTCCCGGAAAGGCCGCAATTTTCGGCCAGTGCTATGTCTACTGGATGGTTTTGAAAAATTGTGAAAAACGGAGATTTTGGAAATTTCATGAAATGCTACGTAAGGAATTACAAAAAATAAAAAAAAATGTTTGCTATAGGAAGGGTTTAATGTATGAAATCTCAGGCGATTATAGAGAGGCTTTGTTATATGGAGCTTTTAAAATATGGCAAAATAATGGTTCTCTCTTGGACCGTTCTCCGAGTTTCGCGTTCTTTTTCGGCCGCAAAGATGGGTCAACGCTTCGCCTGCTCCTCGAAAGCGGAGGATAAAACTTCCTGGGACGTGTGCAAAATTTACAAAAAAGAAAAGGCCCAAAAAATATTTGCTACGGAGAGGTTTCATTGCAAGGAGGTCCGGCTTGAAGTAAAATTGAAACATGGGGACCTTTGGAGTTGTTTGTAATACAGAGGTTTTGTTGGGTGGCTATATAAAAAATAAGTTATACAGAGGTTTTACGGTAAAAAACAGTTTTTCTAAAATTCTAATAACATGCAACGTATTTTACCCCAGGTTTTTAAAATTTTACCCGCTACTTTTACAAGAACCACGGTAAAAATAAAAAAAACAAAGAAATTCATAAAATAATATTTTTTTATATTCCCCACCTCTTTAATCCCCCTCCCCCCTCATAAATCCTTCATTAATTTTGCGGATATTCAAATTTGCGGCTTTAAAATAAGCTCAATTTGCCACCCAAAACTCTTTGGCATAAGAATTTGATCCGCCTGAAGAATGCCACTTTACCCCGTTGCTTTTCGCACTTTCAAATCCGCCAAATGAGCCGAGAGCGAGCTTCGTGGGGTGGGGAAAAACGCCGCCTAAACTTGGCAATCTTTTTTGGACCTGCAAAGTTAATGGAGGAGGAAGTTGTTTTTAGGGGCGCGCGGGATAATTTTGAAACAAATTGGAGAGCTGTTATGTGGAAAAAGTTGTTATAACAAATAAAAAATTTGGAATACCAAAATCATTCCAGCTGCCTTGCGAACGGGCTGGTACTCCTACAGTATGCGTCATAATTATAACCGCACTTTAAAAATGAGTGTAACTTTTGTGATTGTGAATAGAAATGTGTGATATTTGGCACCAATGTGCATCAGTGTACTAGCAATGATGTCCCAAAAAATTATTTTGAAGAGTTTCCGCATTTTAGAGAAAAGCTCGAAAAACCAAAATTATGATACTTTTCGGTGTCGCAAAATTATAACCGCATTTGCGAATTTGGGGTACTACCCTAAGAAAAACACAGGATATCAATAACTGATGTTTAGTTACGCTCCCTGAGGCCTCAATAACTCCCATCACACGACCCGAAACCCTCTGGGCAAAATTTTTTGGCGCATACTGACCCATCTTGTCCCTTAATCGGAAAACGGCAGATTTTCGCTCAGTTAGACCGTTGGGCTCAAGTTGTCCGGAATTTCCTGGTCGTCACGGAAGCCTTTAACAAATCTAAATGTTATGGCAGACAAAAGTTGACCACTGCTTCTGGTTGAAGAGAAATAATCCGCCGGACTTCTAACTCCGCCATCTCTGGGGTTCACTTAAATCAAGAACTGAGCTTCATTAGTAGCGGAAGCACCGTGATGAAGGTCGGAAAACACAGCGACGTCATCAGAAGGTATCATGTGAAGCTGTGACCCCAGCTGACCCCGGTTTACGGCAATCCACAGCCGAAATTTGCCAAGGAGACATTCACAACAGAGGCTGATTAGTGGAAGGTCGCTGAAACTGACGTTAGACCGTTGCAATACCATATTCTTTGTGGATTGCGTAGTGACACGATGCCCTGACGGTTTTACATACCAAAGGCATGACATTAAAAACGTATCGCGTCGCTTCTCGTGTCGTAATTATAGAGGCCGCCCGTTGATGACTTCGGGCGCCTTCAAGAAAGCCGTAGGCCTTCCGTCCGCGGCCACAGCAACTCAAATGAATAACTTCGAGTACTACGAAGTCTTAGGCGAACATCTGGTACCGTACTGGCAATCTGGCTATACTTTTGTTGGAGAATGCCCACGTCCACCATAGCAGGTCGACATACCAGTCCCTTTGACAGCAAGGCATTTGCCACCATAGACTCACTCGCATATTCCCTGGGTTTAAATCCGATAGGAAACTTGTGGGGCCTCCTCACCCGTTGATTACATCGCTGCAACTAGCGGTATTCTACCGTAACTAAGCGAAAATCTGCCGTTTTCCGATTCAGGGACAAGATGGGTCAGTATGCGCCAAAAAAATTTGCCCAGAGGGTTTCGGGTCGTGTGATGGGCGTTATTGAGGCCTCAGGGAGCGTAACTAAACATCAGTTATTGATATCCTGTGTTTTTATTAGGGTAGTACCCCAAATTCGCAAATGCGGTTATAATTTTGCGACACCGAAAAGTATCATAATTTTGGTTTTTCGAGCTTTTCTCTAAAATGCGGAAACTCTTCAAAATAATTTTTTGGGACATCATTGCTAGTACACTGATGCACATTGGTGCCAAATATCACACATTTCTATTCACAATCACAAAAGTTACACTCATTTTTAAAGTGCGGTTATAATTATGACGCATACTGTACTAATCATTCCTGAAAGTGCGTAGACATTTTTCGGCCTTTTCGCATCGAACTGCAACTGCCAACTGAAATTTTGCAGTCCAAAAAAAGCCGCTTAAATCGCTATATGACTTTACGGACGAGTTATCAGTCCGTCGGGAAAATAACGAGCACTCTGTCGCATCGAAAATCACACCGCCGCCGCCGAAATGAATCGTGGCGCAGCAAAGCAAACTTTTGTTTTCGCACAGTGCATATCGCACTCCGGTGACTTTCCGAAAGGACCAGGTCCAGAAGCTGTGTAATGGCGTTTTTTGAATCATTCTTTGGGATTTTTGATGCGACAGAGTGCTCATTATTTTCCCGACAGACTGACAGACCGCTGATAGCACAACACACCTAAAAAGCAATGCATTTCATTTCAGTTTCAACCATTCCAGCGACTTTACGAAGGACTACTTTGACGAATTTATCTCCCGCTCCCTTACATTTCCTTGCACTAATTTCTGATTACAATGGAAATGAGCTCAAATGCCCTCAAAAATCGTATATTACTCCTCAAAGATTAATGAATTAAAATATTTCGCCGCAATTGCAAAAGAATGGAGGAACAAGCGCCGGAGCCGTTATATTTTTTTGTGTTGCAGCCCTCGTCTTATGCTAACGAGGTTAACGGGATTTGACATGGAGAAGATTTTGAAATGGGCAACGACGCGCCTCAAAGTGCATATAAAACTAACAAAATTGAATGAGATTGGACGTCCGCGGAGATGGAAAGAGGAGATCCAGCAGTAAAAATCTGGATTGATTTCAAAGCTTCGAAGTTTTTGTAGGGAGAAAGGCAGTAGAATTGGAGAGGAATGGTAAAATTTGATGTTTTGATATACAGTGGTCCAGTGGCAAAAGGCGTAACATTTCGCATCCGGGAAGTAGCAAAAATGTGGCAAAATGCTTCCCTCTCCAAGCGAAAAAACTCCGATTTCAAAAACGCGCGTTTCAAAAAGAAGTGTTTTCACTTGGAGACGGAAGCATTTTGCCACATTTTTGATGCTTCCCGGATGCAAAATGGTACGTTTTTTTGCCAATCTTTCGGGTCTGTCACTGTACAGTGCCTCCCAGGTGTTTGATTCCACCCCATTTTTTTGATCATACTTCGGACGGTTCTTTCCCAAATGTCATGAAATTTCACACAGGTATTAACCAACCTTTAGAAATGAGCTACACAAGGTTTGATCCCATTTGGTTTCAATACTCGGGCGTTATGGCTATTTTTCCAAATTCAGGGTGTCCTAAGTCCTAAAAAGTTTTAACAGGGCAAAAGGCGAGAAATTTTGCTGCGAGAAATCCACATTATTATCTAGACATACTGTTATTAAAAAATGAAAAATACATACTACGAACAACTGCTACATACCAAAACCTCTCTATTGCAAACAATTTCACGGAATAATTTTTTTTGACCATTCCAGTTCATTGTCCAAATGTTGGTCTGCAAACCGTGACCATTCCAATTAAACTCTTTACAATTTCCACTGTCCACGATCCCCCAAAACTTGGCTCAATGTGAGATTACGCCCGCCAGTCTTGCTGGAGATTATCAGCTTAGCCCCTCAGAAAACTTTTCCTTCAAAGATTTTGCGAACACAACGGAAGAGGGTTTTTTGGTGGGTTTCCGTGTGTTTTCCCCACATTTTTGGACAAATCTTGTTATTTTTTTTCAAAACAAAACACGTTATGGTTATAAACTGTACTTGGTGGGCCAAAAAAATCCGACAGGGAAAATAACTGATACTCTGCAATGGAAAGAAGATAGAAGCGTTTGGGGTATAGCAGGTTCAAATTAGGGGAGTTTGATTCATGCTCATAGTAAAATTTTGTGATTATCGGTCTGTCGTGAAAATAATGAGCAAAATAGGGTGCACCAATCGCATCGCTAAAGTAAAAAGCAATTTTATTTTGCCACGACGCAATTATTTTTCTCATCGGCGATACGATTTTCGATGCGACAGAGTTCTCCCGACAGCCTGATACCATAGTATTCAATAAGTCATTTTGTAAGGCAAAAAAAATGGATTCAAAAAAATCAAGGCAAAAAATGCAAAAATTCTCTCATATTCCCCCCAAAAAAATCGGTGTCCCACGTAGAAACCCGCAATTGCAATGCGCAATAATCTCGGTCGCTCCTTG